CACCGTTTCCTTGATCACTCGCACCTAATTCCTCAGGTTCAAGTTTTTAATTACAATTCTGACCTGATAGGAAGTGTTGTTGCATTTCGGGGGAGACACGCTGACTGAGAGGGACTGGGACTGTGGCATGGAGCTGGAGACAAACCCCGAGTCAGGGCTGGGGATTTAGCTCAGCGGCAAAGCGTCTGCCTGGCAAGCGCAAGGTCGTGAGTTCGGTTCCCGGTACCGGAGAAAAACAAACAAAAAAAAAAAAAACCCCGAGTCAGTACTTTCAACAAGTTTCCCGAGCAGGTTTGAGCTTGCTGAAGCTGAGCATCTTTTATATATTTTACAGCTGTGTTTTTACATATCCTGGCATTCAGACTTCCACATTTTCTCATACAGTGATTCTTTTATCTGTATATATAGTCTTCTTTCCATATTTAATGTTTCTTGCTTTAAATTCTATTAAGGCCATACTTTCATATGTTTTCTCCTAGTTAATGAAATATTGGTATGTCTTTTACATCTTCGTTTTCAGTTTTTCTGGGTTTTTTTTTCTATGAACATTAGTCTCCCCTCATTCATAATTTTGTTTTGTGTTGTATCATTTACCTCTGCTCAACTACGGGTAGCCTGAAAACATTAAATATGAAATGGAAAATTAAAGAAATAAACAACTTATAAGTTTTAAATTGCATGTCGTTCTGAGTAGTTCATGAACTCTTCTGCCGAACCACTCCATTCCACCTAGGACACAAGGCATCTATTTTTGTTCAGTGTATCCACACTGTATATACTACCCAACCCTTATCCACTTAGTAGTCATTTTGGTTATAAGATCGACCATCACAATGTCACAATGATTGTGTTCAAATAAACTTTATTTTACTTATTAATGGACCCAGATCGTAGGAGTAGTAATAGTGAAAATTTGGATAGTAAAAAGCTTCCTTCTAAATGAAAAGGTGAAAGTACAATAAAATATTTTGAGAGAGAGGCCATGTTCACATGACTTTTACTGTTGTATATTGTTATCAATATTCTACGTTAATATTGTTAACTTGTTAATGTGCCTAGTTTATAAATTAAACTTTATAATAGGGACATAGAGAGAGGAAAAATAGTGTATATAAGGTTCACTATTTATAGTGTCAGGCTGCTACTGGAGCCCCCTGCAGAAAAGGCGGGACTAGCGTATATGTGTATGAAGTATAGCTGAATTTTATTTTCCCAGAATTGGACTGACAGATTCAACACGTTCATATTTCTTGTGACTAATGCTATAACCGGACTTGTTTCTTCCTCCATCCCATCCTTATTTTTCCAATTCTCCTCCCCCTTGCCGTTTTCTCTTGTCCTTCCTTCTTCCCTTTTTTCTTCCTTTCCTTTTTTTCTTGTCTGTCATATTGATCACATTTTTTGTTGTTCTCCTAGCAGTCTAAAAGCTGAATATTGTATACCTATTCTAGTCATTTCACTTTAATTTATAGCACACAATTAAATTTATCTTATTATCTAGACATCTGAAGTTATTCAGTATTCATATCAACCGTTGCTCTTAACTTTTCTGCACTGAGACAAGAAATTTAGCTATTCCCAGTGCTCTCTTTTTCTTCCAACCTGCCTATCGTCTTTCACGTTGATGTGATTTTATGTGTCAACTTGACAGGAGTAAGGGACCTCCAGTTAATGGATAAAACTGTGCTAAAGCATGTCTCTGAGGGTGTTTCTGAAAGAACGCAGTATTTGAATGTGTGGCCTAAGTAAAGGAGATGGCATAAGGATGCTCGCTCACACAGGCGGGCATCATCCAACCTGTTGAGAGCCCAAACAGAGAAAAAAGGTGGAGGAAGAACACATTGGTCCCTGTTTGAGCTGGGACACCCATCTTCACTTGCCCTCAGACACCCGCCATCCTGTCCCTGACCCTTTGGAGTTTGCCTAGGACTGACAGCATCAATGCTCTTGAACTTGGACTGAATCACACCACTGCTTTCCCGGCTCCGCAGCTCGAAAGGGCAGATTGTGAGGATTTTCATTCTCCATAACTGTGTGAAACGGTTCCTATAGCAAATCTGCTCATATATGTGCTTGTCCTGTCCCTCTGCAAAACCTTAAATAATATAGCTATTTCCCAAGAGTTTTAGTTGCAGATTATTATTAATTTGATGTATCAATGATTATTTAGATAATTATAAAATATACTTACTCCTTTGCTCATTTCTTTTCAATTTCTATTTTTTTTCCTTTTTGGGGAATCTTTTTTCATTTTTATGGAGTACATAATTAATTAATTTAGAGACCTGTATGATAAGTTTTTTGAGTATTTGTGTGTCTGTGCACTTTTTATTTGGCATTCTCACTTCAAGGTTAATTTGACCAGGGATGAGTCTAGAGTAAAATGTCCTGTAAAAATTCTTCAAATAACATCTTTATAGGACCTGTTCTCTAATGGTAACTTAAACATAAATAAATCATAAAAATATGACAAAATTATTTGGAATTTATGAGCTCTCCTCCTAATTAACCCTTGAATCAAGGAGGTAATCAAAACTGAAATTCTAAACTAAGACATAATATAATGGATAACAGTTTATACTGAAACCTACATTACACAGATAAATCAAAACTTGGAGGAAACCTTATAGCTTAAGTATTTTGTTAATGAAACAAGACTAAAAACAGAGGAGGCATTTGTTAGCCAAATTGGATCTGAGAAGGGAAGGCAACAGAAAAGCAATTAAATTCCCATCTTCCTTGCAGGTAGCACTTTTATTTTAATAGATAATTTTAATAGATAAAACTTTGAATCACTTGGAATTTATTTTGTTTGAAGATATCGGGATGGATCTAACTTCATTTAGAAAATATAAAATATTTTGAAAATATTGAAATGTCTAACCAATTTTCTCAACAACATTTATTTCATAATCCATACTTTCTCCTCTAATATAAGACTCTACTTTAATAATACAAGGTATTCTTAAATGAACTTTCTCTATTTTTACAGTACCCTACTCTGTTCTAGTCATATGGATGTACATTTTAGTATATTTCCTGCTGTTTCAATTACTATAGTTTCTGACATGAGGGTATCATTCTTTTAAAACTATTTTACTGGCTCTTTGTCACATCTTTAATCTTTTAAATGATTTACATTTTTTTCAAATGGAGAATTTGAATGGAATATAGATTAAAGAGAATTAAGATCTATATTAGCCCATCCAAGAATAAGGCATTTGTTAGCTTTTTAAAAAAAATTAGACTTCTGGTTTTTATTACACTATGTAGAGTTTGGACATCATCACTCCCACCCTCGGTACTGGAAAAAACCTGAACAAACTAAAAATCAAGAACACATTTTAGATCTATGGGAGAATTAAGCACACAGGGCAAACCAATGCCCCAAAACTAGAGAGAAAAGGAAATACAAAGTAGCTTAGTGGAACATAAGCTACTGGAGCCAATACTTTAAAGTATAATAATTAACTACTGGCATCTCGGGATAGACTAACTTGAGAGTAAAAACCTTCCCCCCACCCCAGTGTACTGAAATTTTCATGCATCTCATCTCCAGAAGCTGTAGCAGATTCCCTTTCACAGTGGGTGTCCCTCTTCTCTATGGGAGGCCTAAAAGCCTAGGGAGTAGGACAAAGCCCCTTCCATCTCCCTTTTACTGTGTTCCTAATATGCTCTAGAAGATAGACTTGGTGTGAAGAGTCCCCACAGATGGTAAAGAACTTACACAATTGCAGAGTGGGCCAGTGAGTGAGGTAGGAGTAGTCACTGTCTATTATAAATTGGTTTGAGAACTATGCCTTACATAAGAACACCAAAATCAAGCAGAACTATTGCTGGATAAATTTTTAGATTTTATTCATTATAATGCTTTATGTGATAAGAAATACTGCTTAAAAAAACCTTAGAGATACAACTCTCAGATACATAGATCTGTTAGGATTTTATTGAACGGGAAGTACCAGAAACCCTTACCTTAGTGAATTAGAGATAATTTTCCTTGTATGCAAGAGGGCTGCAGGTGGGTAAGTTATTGACTGCGGCTCCATAACTTGATGCTGTCAGGACCAGGGTGTTGTCAATTCTCTGGGTCTTTCTCTGCTGTTAGAAAATGCCTCCAGCTGTCATATCCCTGGTCAAGATAGGAGCAAGGGAAAGGACCATGCCAAACTTGTTTATCAGAGAAAGAAAAAGTCTTAAGGGAGATTGTTCTGGCAGGTTTACTTAGAAAACAGAGACTTCTGGCAAGGTTTCAGTGTTATTGCTTTGTGGAGAGCTACTAGCCTCAGCTGCCAAGAGTGAGGTAAAAAAGGAGTGAGAAGGGAAACAAACGAAACTTGGTTCATTTCCCAGCAGTCCCTGCTTCTCTGCGCGTGGCACTCAGAAACACAGCTATTGTGTGAACAAGCCCACCTTTTGGCCGTGTGAGATGCTGGCCACGTGAAATTCCACATAAGCAATGTGGAATTTATCTCCTGGTTCTCTGTCACTTTCTATTTTACTGTTTTAAGTTCTGCCCTGGAAGTTAACTTCCTTATGTTTATGGGCTGTGTTATCTGGACCCTTTAACAGTTACAAGGGAACTCAATTTCCATGTTGTGAAATGTGGCACTTCCTCTGAGTTTGGGAATAGAGAAATCAGAGACTCTGGATGTTGGATTCAGGCAGTAGAACTTCACATGGCATGGAGTTCCCCATAGAAACAGTTGAAATGGAGCAAGTGTCTAAGTGTGCATGGGGCAGTGACGTGGGTAGAATATGAGCCAATGTACAAGATATACCTAATACAGCACAGGAGCAGACTCCTTATGACACCATGCTAGTCAGATCTCTGTCACATGGCCACCCATAGCTGAACAGGAGGAGGAATGAGAATAGCTTGCTTGGAACTGAACACAGGGGTGCCCCTTCAGAGATTTGGATTTGGTTGACAAAGATGGTGGAGGAATGGCTGCTTTGTGAGTAACAGTAGGTCCCAGAGGATGCTTTTATTATATACAACAGTTATCAGCTTTCCTAAAGTAAGAGGAAAAACAGAAATTTATTGAAAGGATATCAGTACTTTTTGGGAAGGCTTAACAGAAGGGCTGACGAGTCAAGTTCTTCCTCATTTGGAAAAAAAAATTGAGAGCTATAGAAACCTGGGTAGCCAGAACCACCACCAAAGCCATGCCATATTCAAGGCAGTGTTGCGGTGCTATCTTCCCTGGATGCTGTATATTGACGCTGATCCTGCCGCCACTGGACCATGGAGGCTGCCATCATTATCAGTGAAGTTAGCTAATTGCTTATGTGCAGATAGTTCTTCAGATTTAAATTCCTAGGAAAAACATATGATTAGTTGAGATTGGTGTTCAGCACTCACTGGAAGAATGTTAGGGAAAATTATCTGGGACTTTTGGTTTGCAGTCAGGTGGACAAGATCCCACCGAGACCCACAATTGCTAATTCTCTATACTTATTAAGAAGTTCAGATGTTGGACAGCTAAAAGAAATTGGAAAATTACCACCCCGTGGTCCATCACTTTAGTTACTCAACACTGACTAACATGCTATCCCAAACTCATTCTTTTGCCCTCCAAAATGTTCCTGGTAAATGTAATGTAGCTACCTTTCTAACAACCAGAAGCATATTGAGTCTGTTCTTATAGTGAAGTATCCGAAGTCTGCCAATGACTGAATTCATCTACAAGTGCAGGGTTCTGGGTGAGGAATGGATCTTGTCTGGGTCTGGCATGATACTGTCTTAACAGTCTATGACAAATGGGCTATATCGTAGATTTGCTACCACCCACACACCTTATATACGGGACGCCCCTTTGAGTCTCTTCATGTCCTCCCACGTTCACAGTCCCAGACACTGTTGGCCATTTGCTGGTCTTGACTGCTGCCACTCTTGGTGGGAAACTGAGTGGGCTCATGGCTGCCCCTCATGAGTGTAACCATCGGGGAGTTCACGGCCTATCACATGCACCTATATGATTCTTAAAAAGTGGTGAATGGCTTGGGCTATTGGTCAGAGGCCTGTAGGGAATAAAAATAGAAAGCCAGGGCCAAATAAAAACAGCAAGAATCATCTGCCGCCAAAGATATTCTCAATCTTAAAGTTATCTTAATTCCCTTTTCCTCACATCCCACTTCCAGCCCATTGGGAAATCTTAATGTATCTACCTTTAAGTTGTGTTTAGAGCCCACTCACATCTCCGTGCTACTATCCCAGCATAGGAAAACATAGAGCTATTGAAATAGCTTCCCCAGTGGTTTTAGTGATTCCGAATTTGCTACTTCCCATCCTTTTATTCTTTAATACAATGAATAACTTGAGCTTCATTATATATTCCAAGTCAGATCTTGCTATTCTGTTCAAAATCCACCAGTGATTTCCTGTTTCTTTCAAAGTAAAAGCCAACAGTCTCCCAAAGCCCCTACAAGGCTCTACATGCTTGGGCTCCCTGTACCCATCTGCCTCATCCAATAAATTCATTCTGCTCTGGACACAGTAGCTATTTTGCTGCTCCTCCAACATGCAGCCGTATTTCCATGCCAGGATCCCCCTGGTGCGCTTTCTTCTGCTTTTCTTTCAAAGATGCCCTTATAGCTTAATCTCTCACCTTGTTCAAATCTCGGTCAAATGTCACCTTTGCGGTGAAGGCGAGCCTGAACTTACTATGGACAATTTCATTCACTGCCAGTACACTACTACTTGTACTGCTTTCAACTGCCTCCAGTTTTTCCATAGTTGTCAATAATTTTTGGATGATTTATTTACTTATAATTTTTTGTCCATCTCTCAATATGTCCTCCCCTAAGAGGAGGGACTTCTTGTGTTTTGGCATTCCTGGATCCTTGGTGTTTCGTGCCCAGTACATAGTAGATGTTCAAAAATATTTGTAGAATGGATGAGTGTGCTTGAGTGGGACTCTAAGCTCTGGCATTCCATTTCTTGCTAATGCTGGCATATTGCAAGGACCTCTTATAAACCAAACTTAGCTGGCAACAGGGAAGTCATCAGTGAGCACAGCCTGGTCTGGGGAAGGTGAGGCCTGGCGGAGAGATGTGTGCTGGTACTTTCTAGACTTTATCTGAAACTTAATGAAACATTTCTGTAGAATCAGGAGAGTAGACAGTGAGTGAGGAAACTGAGGCGCTGGGAACCTGGGAGACATGCCGAGGTCACGTTACAGATAAGGAGCAGAATGCAGCACACTTTCCCTACACACAGCAATGATACACTTCCTTTTGTTAAAGAAAGATAAAACAAAAATGATTTTTAAAACACACAGAGGCCCGACACGTGGGTGTACATTTTAAAATTCCCCTAATGCATAATATTCTTGACCGTCTAGTTTTAGAGGTTATACACTGCTGTCATTGGAGTGCTATGACACCATCAGGATGGCTGTGGCAGCTAAGAAAACACAGAAAACACGTAGCACGGAAAAAGTCTCAGTCACAACAAAGGCTGGTTTCCTTATCAGTGTGAACCCAAGAAACCAGTGAGTGCCCCCCAAATATACATTGATGAGGACGCGGTGAGTCACCGCATGACTCACAGCTCACAGACCACTACAGAACAGAAACATGAGGAATAATTTACTGCCTAGGCCAAAAGGACTTGAAAGAACTTTCCCACCCACCACATGAGTGATATATCAAATTAGGGATAAGGCGCCATCCCTTTCTTCTTTTTGGAGTGGATTAGTTCTCCCTCTTTGTGAGTCTCCCCCAGAGACACAAGGCCAGATAAGCCTCTGGGTTTCCTAATAATCTCCCAGTAAACTGTTCTATTCCTGTACCTGCCTACTTGGGCTCATTCTGCAAACAAATCTAGTCCGCAAGAGTGCCTCAGCCCACAAGAATGTACTTCATCACTGCTCAAAGCAAGATGGCTTCTTGGATCAATGTTTTACTCCTGCCCTCCCTTGACCATGACACTGAACAGACCCGTAATAAACTGTCTCTGACTGAACAAGCAAGAAATTATTCTCAGGCCAAGACATTTTGTTCTTCAAAACTGTTTCTCTCTTTCACTTATAAGAATCAAGGACCCAGAGATCACATTTAAGGGCAAAAAGATTAGTAGAAATGTTCATAGTTCTAGAGGAATAAAGCGTTTTATTTTCAAACACCTCAGTGGGGCTGCTGTTTTACTCACACGAGCAGTACACATGGATTGGTGTTGTTATTTCTGTTCCACTCAGAAGGATCCTGAGAAGGCTGGAAGGCCCTGCTGGAGATCACAAGGCAAGGCCTTTCTGGAAGCTGGAAGTACCTGCTTGAAGTTCCCCTCCTCCTGGGCTTTGCTAACGACCGCCCAGGCCGTCTCTAGGCTTAGGCACACCACACAGTGAGACTAGGTCTTCTGTTGCAGGCAGCTGCCTGGCATCTGGATTTTCTCTCCTTCACCAGGCAGCACTGTTAAAAAATAAGCTCTTACATCCAATTGCTGCTCTGTAAGGCATACCTCAGGGGACAGTGCTCTTCTCCTGCCTGTTTTGCTGCCCCTAGAATGTTCTTCATGGTACCCGGAAGGCATCCTCTGACTGCTTCCCCAGTGCTTCAGAGAGCATCTCACTGGAGGGGAAGTGTGGTGGCCCAAGGCACTTGGTGCTGCCAGCTGAGGGGCTGCCCCAGCATGTTTGCACACCTGAGACTGGTGTATGATCTTGTGAGAAGTAACTGGGTTGCTATTTTCCTGGGCAGAAAGGTAGACACTGAAAATGGAAAGGACAGCTGCTGCTTTGGGCGGGGGGCCTGGAGCAGAGGGGCCTTTAGTTTTCCCTTCACTGAGACTTTTACACTGCTCTCATCACTCCTTCAATAAGCATCAGTTTAATTTCCCACTTTGCATTGTAGCTGAGCTAGACGTGGAGGTATAAATACTGCCTGAATAGTGTCAGAAGAACCAAAGAGGCAGAGACCAGTCTACGTCGGTTTACAGCATGGGACATAAAACAACACAAAACAAAACAACAAAACAATGAAAGACTTACTAAAACAAAACTCGAGTCCAAAAGGTAGAAGGAAGAGCAAGAGTCAAGAACCCAGATACTTGTAGACACCTGTCGGGGTTGGAGGTTTATGGATCTTGTGTTTGATCAGCATAGACACTTTCCTTCTGAGAGATCAAATTGTCTTTCATTATGATCAGCATGATAGATCATTTTTTTAAAAATTATTAATTTCTTGTCTTACTTTTTAAATGGGCAGATAGAACTAATTCCTAGTTGGGAATTTCTAATAGTTTAAATATGTTATAGGTAATTAATATGAATTAACCTACTGATTTTTTTCAGTTTAAAAGTGTATCACTTATGACACATTATGTTGTCAGGAATTTGATGCAGAGAAATTGAAGGGGTGACAAAGATGGGCGTGGAAGAGGCAAGAGAGACCATAAATTGGAAATCATTTGAGTTGGGTGAGGAGTGCACGAAGGTTCAATGTTTTATTCTCTCTGTTCAGCCAGATATGTGCTTGGTTGTGGTTCTTCCTTTAAAAGCCAGACCCAAACATATCTCAGTCAGAAGGGAAATTTGAAAATAACCAAACTCGCTCTGCCACAATATTTGACAAACTTGTAACTATGTTAAGCCTTGGTGTCCATGTTAGATGTAATTATTTGGTTGCAGTTATGCCTTTAGGATTTCAGGAGAAAAATATGCCGCTCTAGAAAAAGGCCCTAATCACTAATACGATTTGAAATTTATTTCACCTTGCTCCATCTATAGATAAAATAAATTTAAAGTATGTAAGTAAATGTGGCCACTGTTTTACATATTAGACATTCAGTGTTTGTTTTTAGAAGACAATGAAGCCAGAAAACATGGTGTGTGTGTGTGTGTGTGTGTGTGTGTGTGTGTGTGTGTGTGTCTGTGGAGCGTGAGAGACAGATAGAATATAAAATAAAAATGAAACTTTAAGGAGATTCCCCAAAGCATTAATAATTAGAGAGACACTGAAGAGTGACTTGGAGGATATTTTAGCGCACATAGTCTACCTAGAATTAGTTCTTGAACCAGTTAGATCAATTCACCCAAGAAAGGTGTGCAAATGGTTACCAGTCACTCACAGATAGCAAAGACATTCTAGAAGATTTGCTGAAAGACCACTGCAGAAAGAATAACTAATTATGCATTGCACTGAGTACTGTCTTTTTTTTTTTGAGACAGGGTCTCACTATGTAGTTGAAGCTAACCTTGAACTCACCATGTTGCCCAGGCTAGCCTTGAACTTGCAATGATCCTCCTGTCTCAGCCTCCCAAGTGCTGAGCTTACATGAGTGAAAGAGTGAATTTGACTTCTGAGAAAGGATGAGAATTAAGCAAATGGCTGTATTTGTTACTTCCCTAAATCCTATTAGGTGGATTTTCCTTTAAAGGAATTTCTTTTCAAACCCAAGAGAAGGACAGTATTGGAACAGGAGAAAGCAAAGTTCAGTTTTGGAAAAAGGAAAGCAAATGGGGATAAGTGGCATCCTTAGAACATCTGGAAAGAGGGACTCCCATGCTAGCAGTGAGGAAGGCAGAAATAGACCTGGTTCGCACAGAAGAATCTTCAAAACACTCCAGGGTCAGTAGCGCTAGATTCTTTTGGAATTGGAACTCAGAGTAGAGACTGAAGAAGGATTTGTTAAAAGGCTAAGAACTATCCAGATCTCAGCTTACCTCCCACATTCGGATGAGCCACTTGACCAAGTACATTCTCTAAAATATTCTCTAACATATTGGAAAAAGAATATTTTCTGAAAGAGTTAAGCAAAAGGAACCTGAGGATGAGGCACTGAGCAAAAAAGAGAGATTCACTAACTTGTTGCTGATCTTCTGAGTCAGCTCCCTTCCTTTCTGTTTCAGAATATTGGTCTTAATCCTCCAAAGAGGAGGTTGAGACATTTTCCCCCTAGGAAATTAGACTGAAAAGGAAATACCTAAAGATATTTTGGAATTTCCACATGTAAACAGCTCAAGCAGACCATAGTAAAGTGAAGTAAAGTAAAGTGAAGCTTAGCATAGACAAACATTCCC